TTGCCCTTTTATTATAGTCCTGACTAGAGAGACTCCCCCAGTGTAAATGAAGTGCTTTATTTATGAACAGCCAGGCAGTGGGGGTGAGATCTTGTGGTGCTGGCAAAAGCCCCGCCATGCACTGGTAAGAAAGGCTTTCTCTAGGGGCAGAGTGCCGAGCACTGAAAAGAAGGAAGCAGTAGTAAACAAGGTGTTTTACATTCAGGACAGTTTCTCTCTCATCTTAAAGTGTGTAATTGTGTTCTGGATAAAATATGGAAATAAAAAAAATCAGAAGTTGCTCATAGGCAAATAACCCTCTTTAAAAGCAAGTACATTTTCCAAGGCAGAGCCAGTATGAACCGTGGCATCAAAGCCTGATGCTGGCTGGTAAAAAATGTAAGCTGTATGGGCTGGAGAATGTAGTAGAACCAGGTTCAAGCACCAGCTTGGCCACTTAGCTGAATGACATCAGGCAGCTCATTTAAATCTGTCTCAGGTTTTTCATCTTTAAAGTGGGGATACTGAAAACTCCAGGATTTTGAGAGAGAAAAGTATGTCAAGCATCCTGCACAGTACCCAGCCCTGGATAAACATTTGTTCCCTTCCCCATGTCTCATTTAGGATTTGCCCTGTCACCTCCCTACGGGGGCTGTATTGTTAACTGAATAGATTCCAGTCGGGGCAAGTATTTTATGTAATGTCACTGAAATGGAGTTTATAACAAAATGAGGTTTTAGGAAAGAATCTGTAAACTATGTTAATTGAAGATTGAATTTGTAGGGGATTTATGTGCCCCGTGTACCCCCCCAACTCCAACAACTCTGCTGTCATGGTCATTAATGTCATGGTCTTGTCATTTGCTAATCATAAAAATAAATTTTATCTTTCTTTAGACAATAAGCTTTCTCTTCATTGTCATGAATGTCCTAACAACCTCTAGTTTACTACAGGGGCTTGCTTGTAAGCAAATGGGACTCTCCAGTGCCATGGTTTTATTTTTAGAAATTGTCTGGCAAATCTGGGAGTTATAGGAAATATAGTTGCTGATACAAATTAAAATCCAGTTTGATTCTTTCTCCTAAACCTCACTCATATACACTGATTAGCAGTCAAAAATGTCTATACATGCCAGACATCGTTCTACCCTTAATATAAATTATCTTGCTGTTAGCAACCTTATTTAATGGCTACAGTATATTGTATTTATTTGATTTCTTTTGCCCAGAACATGTGCTGTTTCTGCTGTGATATTATATCTGCTAATTGAGTTTTCAAATATCAGAAAGGTTTTAAAAATGGATTCTTTAAGAAAGGCACCAAAGTTGCCTATTTGTACCCTTCTGCTACACATCAAATCATGTTTTATAGCAACCTAATTGTCATGATATCTATTTCAAGGGGAAATTTATCAAGTCACAGTGCACCCTTCTGTTTGGAAGAAATATTTGAGGATGTGAGCAGAAATTATTTTTACATAAAGGCTTCAGGCAGTTTGGAGTACTGACATACATACCGTATTTTCACCGCTGTCATTCACTTCCTTTGCCTCAAATAAATAGGTCATTATTATTCCTTTGCAGCCATCTTATGGCGCCTTAAAGTGTGGAGCTCTGTTTAACGTACCTGCTGTCCAGCTGACCCATACAATTTATTGGTGATTTTTACAGAATGACATCCTTGGGCCACCACCATCAGCCAAGGCCCTTTGATATCTTTCAGCAAAATATTTCATTATCACTTATAATTTTTTAGCATTAGTATTATAACCATGTTAACATAGCTAGGAATTGGCATTTTCTGAGACACCTGGATTTTAGGTTAGCCTTAGCCATTTTAGAAAATAATACGGTCATGATGATGATACCACCATGGAATTGCAGAGCGCACTATATGCCAGAGCACAGCAAGGGCAAACATTTGCAGATGGAAAAATTTTACTTGAATGATTTACTCAGTAGTGGCACATTAAAATGGTCTGGCCTTATAATACTTAATTGTAAGTGATAATTAAGAACGTTCAGACTTTTCTAGAAAACAAAACCTCATTCTGTTTTATTGTCGTCATTACTTAAAAGACAAAATCATGGACAACACACCTCTTTTCCCATCCCCTATATACATGTTTTGTAACCTTAATATGAATGAGGTATGCTACTCTCAGAATATACTAGCCTTAGGATTTCAATAAAGAGCTAAAATTAAAGCATATAGTTATTTCCACGGGAACTATTCTATTACAGCATAATTGAATTGCAACTGGCCTTAAGTCCCATTGGCTGCAAGATAGTAGTCAGGATTTTTAAGGCCTTCGTTTATGTTGACCGGATTACTGCTTGTCACCAGGCCTTTCCACATGTACCTTTTGTAAATGGAAGATTATTTGTGTTGCTAATATACTTCCTTTGATAGAAGAAATCCCTCCTAAACCCCTCCCAAACCTGGTAAGACCCCATTTGGTATTCTAGTCTCCTCAAAGAAAGTCCTATGACATAAGACGGTTATAGCACTTGAATCACACAATTTGATTTTTTCTTAATTTTCTTAGTAGATTGTATTACCTGAGGCTGTAAGAGTGGTGGCCTTTCTGTACACACTTTGCCAGGGCCAGCAAAACCACCTTGAAAAGCTTGCTTGATTATGGTAGGAATTTTCTTCTCCTTGTTCTTTTCTCTAATCTGGGAATAAACTTTCTCCAGCTGGGTTCTGAATTCTGTTTGTCACAGTAATCCACTAAGGAAAAAATAAGCATCCATTCATTTATTTTTTTCTGATCACCTTTTCTCTTTGTTGTTATTCTATAATACTGTTCGGCATACTAAACCTCCACTGCTGGATCAAGCTGGGGGAATTTACCCTCTCACTCACTACAAGCCCAGTGGGCCTGCATTCTCACACCCAGGTTAATTCCCTGGATCATAGAGCTTGAGGTTGGATTTCATTTTGGTCTGCTCCTCAAGCACCAGAAATTTTTGTTTATCTGTGGCCCTGATAATTCTTTTTTCCTTATCCTTGTAGTTTCCTCTCTTCTAATCCTTTGCCAGGGGCTGGTCTATTTCTAGGTGGATTTGCCTTAGACCCATCTTAGCCACCCCTCTCACACTTTCCCAGTGTGTCCTAGCAGGGGAAAAAAAAGAATCCTTCAACAGAAGTATGATAGCAGGTGGAAACCCTCCATTCATTCTAATTGCGTCTCTATACTGTCTCACATTTTCTTTAGATGAGTATTTATCTTTGACCTTTGTTTCTTTATGTGGCAACATTTTTTTAAAGAGCAAATAATCTGCCCCTGAGTTGGTGTAAAATAGCTACATAGGGAGGTCCTTGAGCGCAGGAGCCTTTGTTCTTGAATCCACACTACTTCCAGTGCATAATGGCTTAATAAATCTTTGGATTCGATGTCTAGAGAAATGATGATGATGATGATGATGATGATGATGATGGTGATGATGGTGACAGCAGCAGCCGCCGCTGTTTATTCAGTTTTATGAGAAACTAGACACAGTGCTAAATGCTCTATATTTATTACCTTTTTTCATCCCCCTCATCAGCCCTGTGAGAGAGTTTTTAATTACTATCCCCATTTTTCAGATGGGAAACTGGCTCAGGGACTTTAATTAATTTTCCAGAGGTCACATAGCTAAAAAGGAGTCGAAGTCTCTCCCTCCCTTTCCCGATTTTCCATTACATCTGCTGCCTATATCACACTTTTTGTTCTGTAAGTAGTGATAAGTTATCGGTTTTCACCCACATTGCAGCTTCTTAAAGGCTAGTACAGCGTATACTTCTGTATCCCCTACTATGCCAGGTACGACATTGAACACTGGATAATTACTTCATCCTTTGGTTCTGAATTGAACTCACTTCTCCTCCTACCTGTGCTGTAGGTCATTTAGGACATTTATGAGGTGCCCTGGCTGCTGTCACTAATCTTAGAAGCAAACGGTGGCTCACGCCTGTAATCCCAGCATTTTGGGAGGCCGAGGCGGGTGGAACACGAGGTCAAGAGATCGAGACCATCCTGGTCAACATGGTGAAACCCCGTCTCTACTAAAAATACAAAAAATTAGCTGGGCATGGTGGCGCGTGCCTGTAATCCCAGCTACTCAGGAGGCTGAGGCAAGAGAATCGCCTGAACCCAGGAGGCGGAGGTTGCGGTGAGCTGAGATCGCGCCATTGCACTCCAGCCTGGGTAACAAGAGTGAAACTCCATCTCAAAAAAAACAGGAAGCAACAAACTAGGGCAGATCTGGAGATGAGCCTTATATATTAGTGAATGTGAAAGCCTCGACTTTTTGACATGTTCTGAGGGAGATTTTCTCTAAATGGCTGGCAGGGGGTGGGGGTGATCTGCAGATACGGGTGTCAGTTCAGAGATGCCTGGGACTTTGGGTGGGTCATGAAGGTATGAGTGTCGGAGAGCAGAGTAACCGACTCCAAACCATAAGCCTTTCCAGGATTTTATTGAGATCCCAAAGAGTCAACAGTCAGGTAGGCCTCCCTCCCACACGATGAACTGCCTGTTGATTGGGACCGTCAGCATCAACTAACAAGATGAGATTACTTATTGAACCCTCCTACCTACTTCGGTAAAGTGGCCCTTGAGTTTCTGTGAGGCTGACCAAATAGCTTAGCTCAAGGGCAGGTAAGCTAAAGTTGGCCGTGTCTAACTTCCCTACTCCATTTGTGAGAGCTTCAGCATTCACAAAAGCCAGTACACTGACCTTTCCAATATCTCTTCAATATATTACTCAACTAGTACAAAGTACTAGAGGCTGAAACCTTTTGCATCACAGCTTTCGAGGGTGTGACAATTCCAGGCTTAGTTGTCTTTTGTCTCTAGATCTATCTTGGATTAATAGACTTGTTTTCTAGACCATGGAGAAAGGTATTAGAGCCATGCTAAATGTTGCTACTTGTGTTCATTTTCTAATATGCTTATTTCCCACTTTAATAGATCCCATTGATCACACTTAATGGATGGAAATTTTCCTTTGACCTTTTCTTCCCCTTTTTTTAAGGTGATGGACAGAATCTGTTTACGAAAGACGTGACAGTGATCGAGGGAGAGGTTGCGACCATCAGCTGCCAAGTCAATAAGAGTGACGACTCTGTGATTCAGCTACTGAATCCCAACAGGCAGACCATTTATTTCAGGGACTTCAGGCGTAAGTTTCCATCCCTATAGTTGTAGACGGCAACTTTTTTTTCCTACATGTTGTCTTGATAAAAAGATTGCTAAGGCCACCTTTTTAAAATTTAATGTTAGATGCTTAAAGTTTAGTCAGTTCTTTAGAGGGAAGAAGAGACAGGCAATCATAATCTTTCTACTTAATAGAAACCTTGAATGGCCCCTTTTAAAAGTAAGGCAGTCTTACTTTGCAATAGAAATTGATTGTAGTAATTCGAGGTGAATTGCAATTGAGTCCCAAATACTTGGCTGACACAAACAACTCAAACAGGGCAAGGCAAAGAAAATATAGCATTCTGAAAGGTAATCCCTTTGGTTTGGAGATTGAAGTTTCCAAGGTAATACGTGCCTATAAGCATAAAACCAGGTCTTCTCTCCTCATAGCTTTTGGCATATGGAAGTGTCCATATGCTGAAATCTTTCCAAATGTAGCATCACAAAAAACAAAATCGCAACTAACTTGTGTATGATAGAAATGGTTCATATGACTGTCAGGGCTTGGTAAGGGTAAAAATCAAACCTTTTGAAAAAACCTTGTTATTGGAGAGCATTGGTGCCAAACTAAAGTGAAACATGTCCCTTCCCAGCTGCTTGTCCCCTTCCTCCCCAACACCTCAGGGTCATTCATGACCTGTGGAAAATGGTGATAACCCTAAGGAACGTTTAAGAGGATGAGAGAAGATAAAAGGAGATAAGCCAGCTTCTTTTTCTTAAAGTTAATTTTTGTCATATATTAAGTTAGTCTTTGCCAAAATTAAAAAAGGATTTTGAAAGAGAACATTTAAAATAAATAAGAAGCCCACATATATCAGTTTTGCAGTGATTCTGATTCCCTGCTTAATGCCTAACCAGTTTCATACTGTGAAGCCAAATGTACTTAGGAACCGCAGGACCAGTTTAAGACCTCTGTAGGCCCTAGGTCATCCACTTTTGACAGCTCCACCTGAAATCACATCAGATATGTTAAGGTGCATCCAAGTTAATTAGGCTTATCTTGCTATTAAGATTATTTTATTATAAAGTTTTAAAAATAATTTTTCCTTTTGCTTTTGTAATGAATATTAAGGCTTTGAAGCCCTTGTTTTTGAAGGCCTTACTTAGAATTTTTGAGGCATTTTAAAAGGCTGTAGGCCCTAGTCCCTGAACTTCCAGTACCCAAAGGCTAGGAGACACTCCCTGCTTCAGGAGATGCATGACGTGCTTTTTCCTTTTGTTTTCTTTTTTTTCTGAAAACGTATATGAATAAGTGCTGAAAACTGACAGCATTTGGAATTGTGCCAAGATAGAGGTGTGTGTAGCTGGGTGTGTGTGTGTGTGTGTGTACACACACACTCATGCGTAAGTTTCCTTTGGACAGGGTTATTTGTCTACATGAAGTTACCGCAAACACTTAAAATAGTAAGTCAAGAAGTACCAGATACAGCAAGATTTAATAAATAATTAAGGAAAATAGACTGTCCGTCCACCTTCTAACAATCACTAATTCTGTATTTTGCTTCACAGCTTTGAAGGACAGCAGGTTTCAGTTGCTGAATTTTTCTAGCAGTGAACTCAAAGTATCATTGACAAATGTCTCAATTTCTGATGAAGGAAGATACTTTTGCCAGCTCTACACTGACCCCCCACAGGAAAGTTACACGACCATCACAGTCCTGGGTAAGAAATGCATGTGGGACTTACCCAGGGAAATGGAATGGGGATAGCCCTTAGTACCAGACAGCTTGCGGCAGCAAGGAAAGGGTTAATGGTGAAATCTCCTGTTCAAACTTGTTTCAGGAAGAATCATCGCCCATCTTGCTGAATTTTAAAAATAGCCTATTTTACCAAATGCTCTAAGGAATGGCAATCAGCAGTCTTTACAGATTCCACCTGCTCTTGGGTTTCAAACCTCAAGCTTCAGAAGCAAAGATCAAGAGAATTTAGAGCCCTCAAATGAATCACTCACCACATGAAATGTTATTGCTTTTAACTACCAGGATTTTTTTTCTTCCTTCGTGCAAGAGAAGGGGAGATGGGCTACCAAATCTATACCCTATGGCAGCGCTCAGTTATGAAATCCACGTAATGATTTTTCCTTCTGAGTTACATCCTCGTTTTAAAATGTTGTTGATCTCCTTTTCGTTGGCTTGACTTATAGCCTTGTTTATTGCCTATACTCTAGATTACGCTGCAAAAAATTATGCCCCGTGAACATATATTTTGCCACAAATTGCAGTCATTGGGCATAAAAGAGTTAAGAGCATTTTAACTGATGATAAGCAAAGAATTGTTGACAGGCTGCTAAGGTGCACCTCTAGTAAGCTGAGTGTCTTCATTTATGATCACCAGATTGTGAGTTTCAGCAAAATTCCAGTAGTCAGGTTTCCATGTTTATTATATTTTAATATAGTCAGCAGATATTTTTGTGTTGAAGGTGGTCTGAATTAGTCACCTTTAGACAAACTTACTCTAGTGCATAACACCAGCTGATTTGGATTTTCTTGAAACCGAATTTTCAAGGACATACACTATAGCATGAGGCAAGATATCTGATTTACACCTTCGGGAAGATGATGAATCAAAGTCTATTTGAGGCGGCAGACTGCAGCTTTTCAGTGTAATGATATCAAGATTAAAGAGGAAAGATAAATATGAAGGACATTTTTGCTTGGTATGTGTGCACATATATGTATTTATGGATGTACATATTGAGCTGCTGCCTCATTACTTTATTTAAACACAGCTGTAGAAGGGAAAATTTTTTTATTCATTAAGCTAAAACATACGCCTAATGCTCATATATATGTTCTTGATAAGAGGAGTACTGATAAAGTTGTGTTTAAAATCTGTCCATATAATTTCTAATCTGGTCTATGTTTAATGATAGATGGCTTTCAGGTAGTCGTATTTGCCACTATTATGATCTTAACCCAGATTAGACCTGTAGAAATAGTAAGCATGGAAGGTTGTGCTGGGATGACTATTTTGGTCTTTTGCAGATGTATCAAATTCACAAGCATAGATTTGAAGTTTTCTGTCCATTTGCTTGTATCGGAGTATTTGAAAACTCTTTGCTTGTTAGAGTAAGTCATTAGCAGCATAATCTTCAAATTGACCATCTACTCGTTCACCCTTTGCCTCAACATCATTTATGGAATTTCCGCAAAAGTGACAATCATAAAATACAATCTCTTTATGGTATTTTTAATTTTCAGAGAATTTTACTACATATACCTTTTTGTATTTATATGTTGTTTTCGCAGGAGTAAAATCATAATAACAGGCTAGACATCTTGCCCAGGTTACAGAGCACTCAGTAAGAATTAGGAATCTCAGCATTTGGAATAGACCTTACAATTTTGTCGTACAATTACAACCTTTGTGTCTTCCAGTCTAGGTTGTTTTTAGTTAAATACCAAATGCTTTTAAGGTTTTTTTTTTCCTAAAGGCGCACATCTTTTGCTTTCAGGAGTATATCTAGCCATTGGCAAGAAGTTACTACTGCCTGTCATTTTCTGGTGCCTGGTACATTTGTTCTCAAAACCACTGCTTTGGATCAGTTTGGCTCTGAATATACCTTGTGCTTGGGAGCCAGTGTGCCAGCACTAGACTTTTGAGAGGCATTATGTCTATAATCTTTTTTGAGGTCTGATTATTCTAGTAGTAATAGGTTCCTACTTGTATTTTATAGAAGCATTAACTTAAATATACTTGAAAGTAGCACTTTCAAGTATAAAAAGTAGTAGATGTTCTTTCTGCAGATATTATGCATTCACTTAATATTCTTTCCATTTAATTTACTCTAGGATTCCTTGACAGAGTAAAATTGTTGTCATCAGTGTTTGAGTCTTTCATTTTCCAAAATCTGACAATTTCCACTGATACTCGTATATTCAAACCTTTCTCATAAGGTTTAGAGTTTTCAGATATTATAATGAATGAAGAATGACATTAGCATCTTCGTTGCTATCTACAGTTCTCTGAAAAGGACTCCGTGTATACTTAGACAGCTGTCAAACTTCTTGATAGGTTGAAGATGTTCATTTTAGTGCATATGTCTATTAGTTATTTGATGCATTCAGTAAAAACTTCAGCATAATTATAAGATATGAAGATGAGTATTTGTTAATGTCATCTATGTGATTCTATAGTTACTATTATGCTTATGATTTTATCCATGTAAAATCTGAAGACTCTCCTATGACATTTTGCATTTGGTGCCTTTAAGGACATTCATTGATTCCTTCCACTTGTGATGATTTTGTTTCTTTCTCCAGAACATACTGTAGGACTCTCTTTTTACTACTATTCATGAGAAGAGATGAATGAGACAGAGAATACACTTCTTTAAGATTAATATAGTTACTGATAATAGTAGCTAATATTACCACAGTCCTGTCCTTCTAAGATTAGTGTTCATTCTTAAGATTCCAGGAACAGGAGAACCTAATTATTTTAAAGGGTCTTAGAGTGAGATTTCACACACTGATCAGCTTTAAGACTCCTCTTTTGTTGTAATTAATGTGACTCATCTTGATATTGCTGATTTTTGTTAAATGTTGTAGGCGTAATGTTTATAATTAGCACTCTTATAGATTTGAGGTTAGCTAAGAAGAACCTTGACATTTCATTGCTGTTTTCTAATATTTCCCTCTATGTAATTTTCATTCAGGTTTTCATCTATATGCCCCTCCTTAGAAATATCTTTGGTTATTTTTATTAATGGCTGCAGGCAGTTTTTACTAAATGTGCCTGTTTAGTGGACCATGCGTAAGTATATTCTCTGGTTAGCAGCAGTTTTAATTCATTTTTCTTACAAATGGATTTTGATACTTTACTAACCTTTTGTGTTAGAGCAGACATTATGAAGTTAAAGAAAAACAGGATAGAATTAATAGACCAAAATAAATTTTAAGATTTTTCTTGTCCAACCCTTTTTTATTTCAGAAAAACAGATTTAATTTACCTCATTTATATTTTTGAAAGCTTTCTTGCTCTTAAAATAAAAGCTGAGCAAAGTCAACTTTATATCAATAAACTATTATGATTCACATTATCAGATTTTATTTTATAAACTAAACAACTCACAGTATACTTGCCTATTTCTTCTTCTAACCTTAGCAAAGATTGGAAATAGTGGTCACAATCTTGAGAAAACTATGGGCTTGGAAAAAAAATCATTCAGTATTTCACAGAATGGTGATTTCAACAATAAATAAGTCCTGTATTATTCTACACTGGGCACTTTTTTTTTTTTTTTGACAGAGTCTCTCTCTGTTGCTCAGGCTGGAGTGCAGTGGCGTGATCTCAGCTCACTGCAACCTCCACCTCACGCATTCAAACAATTCTTCTCAGCCTCCTGAATAGATGGGACTGTAACAGCCTGTCACCTCATCTGGCTAATTTTTGTATTTTTGGTAGAGACAAGGTTTTACCATGTTGGCCAGGCTGGTCTCGAACTCCTGACCTCAGGTGATCCACCCACTTCTGCCTTCCAGAGTGCTAGGATTACAGGCATGAGCCATTACAACACTGGGCACATTTTCTAATGTTTTTGAAGTTTTCTACATTTTTACCTTAGCCATAAAGCTGAAGATGATGTCACTCTTTGGGCATATAATCTAGGAACAAGCACTGGTTCAGGACTCACTCTGAAGACTTACAGAATTTAGTTATAGAATATCTGTTGCAATTGTTTGGATAATGCCAAACTATAAATAATCCAGGTGAGGACCTAGCTGCTTGTCAGGCTTTTAGCCTCCAAACGAAATTTGGAGGAAACATTGGTGAATTTTTCTCAATCCTTATCTGTACCTTATCATTTCCTTACTTTGAACCAGCAGACATTATTGATAATTGGAAAGAACGTACCATCATCTTTATGAACCAAATGGAGGCAAGAAAGAATTCCCACCGAGAAATATCATTAACGATTAACAGGTAGCCGAGGTTAGGAGAAGCTTGGGGTAAGCAGAGATAAGGGGTTTCCAAGCTCACCATGAAAACCGAGAGAATGAAGGAAAGATATCCAGGAACACAGGCCAAAACTATCTGACAGAGTATGTTTGTGGCTAAATTCCACTAAGACTCGACAGAGAGACATAAAGGAGTCTTAATAACTGCCGGATCTGTCGCATCAGGAAGATTCCCGTGTTTCCACAGAGTGACCATCAAAGTGTTTCTCCCAAAGTCATACAGATAAAATGGGATCTGATCTGCCCCATTCCCTAGGGATTTCCAGGGTTGCCAGTGGCTTTAGCCATTTGCCCTGTTGTCATATCCCAAGAGAGCCACCTTCCTAAGGGCCTATCCCATCAGTTACCTTACTCCATTACAGTTCTCATTAGGAACCACTGCCTACGTCAACATGAAAAATTATTTTCGTTGCTCTTATTTTTATTTTTTCCTGGACCTTGAAAGGTATCTTTTTGTTTGTTTGTTTCATTTCTTCATTTGTTGAGAAGACACTCCTATATTCGTTACACCTTAATCGTTTTCATTTTTTCTTATACCACTTTTTAAGGTCTTATTTTCTTTAGGCTTTTTCTCTGACATTTCTTCTAACAATTAGCATGTAGAAAAAATATACCTATAATACTGCACTCAGAATGCAATAGTATTTATTAGTCCTAAACATCTAGTCTCTCTGTGTATTCCCTGTCAACTGTTGAGATACATGTGCTGAAAATCTGTAATCTACCTGACTATCATCTAGCATGGATAAACTGTGTTAAGGATACTGCTAGTTGAAGTCATTCCATTTCTTTTGTTACAGGCTTTCTGTGTCTCATAAAATGCTAGCAGATGTGCAACTCCAAATTAGATGTTAAATTATCTCTCTTTTTGTTTATTTTTTCTTCAAATGTAAACTAGGGTTGTTCTTTGCCATGTTTAACTACTCATTTGGGCCATGTCATGTTAGTAACACATCCAGTTGAGCAAATATGTTGTTTTCCTTGTACATAGGAAACAAAGAAAAGGGATGCTTTTGCTCTACTTATTACACCCCCACCACCAACACCACCAATACCACCAAACACTATCTTGCTAAGGAAATATGTGCAACAAATCATTTTGCTTTTACTCTTCTATCATTCTCTCTAGGAATTTTCAACTGTTCCAATTCAGTGTAAAAGTGTTCCTGTGGGCAGAATTTTCACACTGTGGACTAGAACAGTTGGAAATCCCAAATACATGGTTTAATCCCATAATTTATTGAAGCAGTATCAGAGATTTATTATTCAACTTGATCATCAGGATGGCATATTTATACATATTTAATTTCTTGTTTCTCTTCTGAGTTGAGATACTTATTAATCATAAGTCTCAGAACTGTCTTTGCTTATTCATGGTGGTCAGGACACATATTCTTAGATTCACTGTACTGAATTCAGTATTCTCACTGATTTTTATTTCAAGAGGCTCAGTCCTGAGGTAAGGTTGCACATGAAGTTTTACTGTCAACTCAGTTTCATAAAAGATAACATTTTATCATCATCATTATTACCATCACACTACATACTTTTGATTTGATAGCATTTCACTCCCAACTCTGTTACTTTGACTATTTTATCACATATATTTTGATATGCCTACAAAAGAATGGTTTAATTCTGATACGTAAATCTACTTATAAGCACTGAAGAGTCTCTTTCGTCTTTGATTTCCAAAACTTGGAGCACTGGAATTCAGAATCTGGAAAATTGCTGCAGATGAATTGGCATTTCTTATATTACTGCATCTTCATATCCAAAGGGTTTTATTACTACATTATCCAGCAGAGGTTGTGATTATATTCTGGATTTCTATGAATCATTTTAATTACATGGAACTGGTTTGAGGCACAGTTTTTCTGTGCATTTTATGGTGAGTGATTCTTAAGGGACTCAGAGATTTTTATCTTTGCTGGTTAACTTTGGAATCTTTCATTTGAAGATTGAAATTCAAGAGTTTAGTTCAAGCACAAATACTGCTTTTGGGAGTTTCCTGATAGGGATGATCATTTCAATAGTATGTACTCCTCTTTTATTCCCACTGTCTGGTTAAGTTTTGAATGACTGGTGACTAATATCTATATTGATATAATGTGCTCAGTGATAACTTAGGAGCGAGACACTGGTTATTTTATTTTTTACTTTTTTTGAGACAGAGTTTCGCTCTTGCTGTTGAAGTGCAATGGTACAATCTCGGCTCACCGCAACCTCCACCTCCCAGGTTCAAGTGATTCTCCTGCCTCAGCCTCCCGAATAGCTGGGATTACAGGCATGCACCACCACGCCCAGCTAATTTTGTATTTTTAGTAGAGATGGGTTTCTCCATGTTGGTCAGGCTGGTCTTGAACTCCTGACCTCAGGTGATCCACCCACCTCGGCCTCCCAAAGTGCTGGGATTACAGGCCTGAGCCACTGTGCCCAGCCACACTGGTTATTTTATAACATAAATTTAGGATAGAAATTCTAAATTACCTAATTTTGCATAATTCACCTTATTTGATGATGACTCTGTATTTCTTTTTCCCCTCTTACAGTGATTTGTTTTAAATTCCCATCAGGAATGTTATAGCAACAATGCAAAATGCATTCTGTGTTTATAAAGCACATATGTTTAATTTGTAGTCCCACCACGTAATCTGATGATCGATATCCAGAAAGACACTGCGGTGGAAGGTGAGGAGATTGAAGTCAACTGCACTGCTATGGCCAGCAAACCAGCCACGACTATCAGGTGGTTCAAAGGGAACACGGAGCTAAAAGGTAAGCTGCAGATTGCCACATACTGAAGTGGTTAGTTGATTCTGGCAGGTTAGGCCTTTGTGAAAATCAAAAACAAATATAAAACATGGCTGTGAAACAAAGCTACTCATTCAGATATGGTTTATAAGCAGTTACGAAATATGTCTGAGGCCAAAGCATAACAGCATTTTATTGTCCTAATCCATGTCCTCATTCTGCTGTTTGAGCATTCATGGTGATATCTGTTGCTCTACTCAGATGCCCAGAAAGAACTGAAACTGTGAACTAGAACTCTTTATGCCAGGAGAAACTTCTGCGAGGACTGTCTCTTGAGCTCAGGATGTCTCTGTCTGTACCTTCTATTCTCATTGCTTTTACCCTGTCTTTTGCAGAGACCCAGAGGGGATCAGAACCCCAAATTTTCAGGGTATACATTTAAAAAAAAGTTTAACAAAGTTTCATATGGTAAATTCCAAGTCATTCTGACATCTCTTACTCTCTCAACTGTGTTGACTGTATGCTTTCCTATAAGAGTGGTTACCCTAAGTGGACTAAGAATTTCATCTTAATTGTGGATTTACAGGGACCCCCTTTCTTGTGAAACCTATGATTCAGTTGCCCAATTCACCAGCCTGTTGCACTGTCTATGATTTTGTGATGACAGTACAAGGCAGCTCCTTTAGCCTCGTTCTGATCGTCTACTTCAGTACTGGGCCATCCCGGGTTCGAGTCCTGGATACTCAAATACCTGCTATCTCAGGTGTTGCATCAGATAAAGGAGACAGCACATACCCTCTTTGTCCATTTTTTTGCCAGTTACCTTAAGTTCCGCTTGTATTTCTGCATTCAAATTTCTTCCTTTTTGAAGTTACTCTGCAGGTAATATACTGCACAAAGGTCGTAGGGCTGAACTCCTCTACTTAAATGACAGAAATGCTAGGGGTGTGCTTCAGTTTCCTCTAAAATGGGGACAATCATATTACATACTTTATGGAATTTTTATGAAGATGAAATGAGTGAATAGTTGTAAAGTATTTAGCTAATACTTGGGCCAAAGTAAGTGCTGTATATATGCTTGTTAAATAAATAAAGAGCATAAGAAAGAAAAGAATCAGCCTTTTTAGAAAGAGGATATAGAAATCTATATCTGGAAGCAGATAAATCTATATATAACAGCTTAACTTTCAAAAAGCTTGTTCTGTTTTAATCTCCTATTTCCTAGGTATGGTTTTGGAAGGAAGGAGTTTCTCATTTCCTCTCTGCTTTTCTAAGTGAATTCAGCCATTAAATGTGTACCGATAAGTACAAAACATTAAAAGAAAGTTAATGGTGTGCCATGTTCCTGGGAGTGCTGAGTTCAGGAAGGGACTGCCTTGGCCTATTCATTCCATCCGGAAGCCTCCTCCCTCCTTTTCTGGGTGTTCTTGGATGTGTCTCCCATCTGGCCCCAAGCCCTGTATCTTACTTTGCTCTAGCCCACTGCCACTGCATTTTTGTGGTCTTCCAAAAGTCTCAGAGTTTAAACATTTCAATTACAATTTCAATTATGTAAATCCATTTAGTTACTTTCTTTCTTAATTGTTGATGATGGGGGTAGGCAAAGGGGGTTGTTTGTAACTCTACTGCTTATTGAATTACTTAGGGGATTTGGATGATGTCCTAGAATTTCTAAATGGCCTGACAGCCTAGTCAATATTTCGAATTCAGTTGGTCGTAGGGGTGAAAACTATTTTTCTTTTTCTCCTCCTGAGTACCTTGAGCAGCCAGACAGCAGACAGTCAGCTGTCTTTTTCTGGGAGGTTTTAAGATAGAAGAAACATACATAATATATTTTAGTAAAAATAGTGTATGTTATTTGGACTTGAAATATATCTTAAATACTATGCTGCCAGGTTGAAAAGTCGGGAATTAAGGAAATAATCATTTCATCAGGTAACTATCCATAGATGACTCTCATCCCAACTAACTGCCATCGTATTTGTTAAAATAGCGATGTTGGGGTTAGAGGACAGAGGGGAGAACATAAAAACAAACTGACAGAAATTCACCCAACTCTGGTTTCTTGGTACATTTTCTGTTCCCCAGGGAAATCGGAGGTGGAAGAGTGGTCAGACATGTACACTGTGACCAGTCAGCTGATGCTGAAGGTGCACAAGGAGGACGATGGGGTCCCAGTGATCTGCCAGGTGGAGCACCCTGCGGTCACTGGAAATCTGCAGACCCAGCGGTATCTAGAAGTACAGTGTGAGTACCCTGGTATCTTATTCCGAGAGTGGTAGAGATGCAATTACCTAGAAACTCTTCAGAAGCCATTTATTCAATGCATTCATTTTATATAACATATATAGTATTCTTATTTTTGGTAGAAAAATAAAGGATTATTTTACTGAAACACTGTACTGCCATATTACAAAATGCCAATGACGATCTGAAAATGCTACATTGAACCCAAAGGCAAAACTGAAATGATTTCAATCTGCTGTAACACATGACTTAATTAATTAATTTCTTTGCATATAGACTGTCAGCATTTCTGTGCCCACTATAAAATCTAGGGTCATTTTCCCCCTTTCTTAATCTCATTGTAAGTACTGAAGTTTGTATAGAAGGGATTTTATTCCCATTCTACATCAGCATTTTGTTTTAAATGGCATGTCCTCTTCTGTTTTAACCTAAATTATAGCAATGAGTTGAAAAGTGACACTTTGGGGTCATTGCCACAATCTTGATGGCTTCATCAGTAAAAGCTAGATCGTAGTGAATGAGGTTTTGTCCTTACCAGGCTCTGTAGATGGAATATGTTCTCCTCATCTTCTCCTCTGGACCCTTCTGCTTAAGAAGAAAAAGTACTTTTCTGCACAAATCCATTCTTATGCCAAGGTTGTGGCTAAGTAGCCAGCTTCTCACTTTTTATCAAAAAGCAAGGGGGAAAAACAAAACAGCTTCTCACTTTGTATCTGGCTTCTGAAAAATCAAGGTGATATTTGAGTACGCATAGTGAAAATGTTACCAGAGTTTGGTTGGGATGGCAGTGATTGGATGTCTCATGAAAGAAACTTTGTGAATCCTTGGATTAATTTCCTAGGGCTGCCATAGCAAATTATCACAAACTTGGTAGCTTAAAATAGTAGAAACCTCTTTCCTTACAGCTCTGGAGGCCAGAAGTCCAAAACTGAGGTTTTGGCAGGACCACACCCCCTCTCCCCTGAAGGTTCTAGGGGTAGATTATTCATTGACTTTTCCAGCTCTGGAAGTCCCAGGAGCTCCTTAACTTGTGGCCTCACCACTCCATTCTCCACCTTCATCTTCACACGGCCTTCTCTTCTCCTCTGTGTGTCTCTTATGAGGACATTTGCCGTTGCATGTAGGGCTCACCCAGATAATCCAGAATGACCTCATCTCCAGATCCTTAATCTGTGAAGACCTTTTTTTTTTTTTTTTTTTTTTCCCCCAAATTCAGCTACAGTCACAAATTCCAGAGGTTAGAACATAAACATATCTTTAGGGTCCACCATTCAACTCCATACAATCCTTAGCGCGTGTCTTAATCATCTGAGCAGAATGGGGGGGTGGAGTGGGAAAAGTTACAAAAAGTTACTTCTAAGACACTATCTCATTCCAACCTTTTCTTAACTTCATGAGCTTGGCTCAATTTAACATTACATAATGCAGGGGTTTCTCATTAATTCATTTCATCTGCTTCATTATGGGCATCATGCTTATAATTTTCATATCACTAAAACTATTGTGGTATAATGTCCCTATAATGGGAAAACAGAAATGATCAGATATTATCTAAATTAGCAGATAGTAGATTTCTTGTGACTTTGTTAATATGTAATTCATTTAAGCAAACTTAATATCCATTAACTCTCTTTGTAGGGGCCCATTAGCTTTAATAATACATTAGCTCTTTGTATGTCCTGAGTAGATATTCACCCAGTTTCCACCCTAAACTCTTTCAGTATTATCCCAGAGTATCTTTTAAATAGAATATAGTCCCACTCACCTACAAAATTACCCTCACTCCCAAATGCAAAATATTTCAAGTGCTATACCTCCTACTTCTTGGAAAACTTGATAATGATCCTCATAAGGCTTGTCTTCCGTATTCTGTCGATTCAAGGGAGATTTGTCCTTTTAAGAAAAGGAATAAGGCTCCACATCTGAATCCATTTGATGTCAATCCAACAAAGTACTCCTAGCCTTCAACTGCCGGAAAGTAAGTCTAATTCCCTCCAGAAACAAGGACGTACCAATTGTTTATTTAAAACTCTAATATGGCACCTTTTTATGGGAGACTCTGTTTTTTAATCCAAGAAAATCATACAAATATTTTAGCCCTTATTACACTTTTTGGAATGCACATAAGGAAAAAAATATTTTTTGTATAAAGGTAAGTTGAGAATTACAAAGCATCACATTAATCCTGAATGGAACTTTGGGTCTGTTTTGATATCTTAAGTAAGGCTCTCTATGCTCAAGAAAGTTTACTGCCCTCCACTCCTAGAGTACTACTGAGAACTTTGCAGAGTCAGCCAGGAATTCCTTCTGTAGCTTCTTCAAACACAATTGGGATTCTCTACATTTCCTACTAGCTTTACTTTCCCTGAACACCAGCAGCTGTGCAGTAACAAAGAGCCTCATTCCTCAAATGCCTGAAGCACTCAGTCACTGGGCCCTGAAGTCTGATCAGTCATTGCCCGGTGCTGTTGATGGCTCAACTCTGGTGCCCCCCACAGCTGTCCTTCTCTCTGCAGAAAAGTAGCGCCATATCTTGATGACCATGAGGAAAGAAGAGACACTTGAATACATGAGATTCCTAGAATAATTTATTGAGTAGCCAGTCTGCATGGAGGTTGAATTATTTTGGATAGCTGCGAGGAGTAACATTGCACCTGTATTTTAATATTGACTCATGCCCTTGAAATCGCAGTTCTTAACCTTTTGGGGATCATTGGCCCCTTTAAAAACCCTTTGATAGTTATAGACCTGGAAAAGATGAATACAAGCACGTATTCACCATATTCTACTTACAGTCTAGGGAGTCCATTTACCCCTCAGGGTTTTCTGAAATCCAGTTATTTGAGGACCACTGTCACAATTTTGCCATATTTATGGGTCGTCTGTATTTTTACCTGACTTAGAATTTTTCTTTAAGTCATTTTATTGCTTTAGCCTAACCAGGACCTATATAAAAATATCTATTAAATTAAACATTTTATTTGTTATGTATAGTGTCTAATAAGCTTTAAAATAAGTGTACAACTAATTTTTTTCAATGTCCTTTCCTTTGCTACCTAAAAAGATTTCTTACATTCTCAGTGAGAAACAATAGGTTTTCACTAGGAAATACTGATCCCATTCATGGACCTCAGAATCTACTCTGAGTAAATTAGGCTACTGTGGGGGCAAATCTAATCTAATCTAAATAAGGTTACCGTGGGGGAATTAATTACACTGACTTGGTTTAAGCCTGGCCAATTTTGCTCCATGAAGGTTTATGGAAACCTCTCTTTATCCCCATCTAAGATGAATGATGTTAACCAGGACATGAACAGGGTTAAATGACAGATCATGGGTTTGAATTCTACATGAAGGAATTTTTTTAAAAATACTATTAAAAATGAAATGAAATAATGAAAACATGCATTATATGTCATTAAATATCTTGGTTTAAATATGACAGGGAAAAAAGAGAGGAGGGAAAAAAAGAAGGGAAGTATTGCACTTCTCTCCTTAAAATGGAGTGCCACCATATTGCATAGAAGACAAGCCTTGTGCTACAACTTGGAATTGCTTTTGTCTTCTGGATTTAAGTCCTAATTAATTGAACCAGGATTTTGCAGTGTTTGTTTGTTAGGACCCTTATTTGTGATACCAGGAGAAATTGTTGTGCCCAATTATGTGAAAAATCAGCCAGATGTGTGTGCTGTCATACTTTTAATAATCCTTAAGTTTTCAGTGAGTACAGATATTAATTGTGTAGTATGCATCGAAGTGATTAACATCAGTGTAATTTATCATCTGGAGATTTCTGAACATAAATAAATGAGTTGTTTTGTTCAGCAAGGTGTTGACCCCTTCAGAATCAGTGAATTAAAGTCCCCCCCTTTTTTATTATAAATATGAAAGGCACCACAATCAGCCAAGTGTTCAGTTATTTGATTTTCTGGGGCATTAGCCACTCTTGTTTGTGACATTTCCCTGTTGGGTGCTCGTTTGCAAGCTCATTAATAAGGTTTTCTCATAGGAACGTTCCTGGGAATGAAGAACATACAGTAGGGCTCTTAGTTTTCTAGCTTTCATTCTGAGACTCAGCAAGGGTACAGCAGCAGCACGCAGTTAAATGTTTAAAACAGATAATTATGCTCCCAAGCTAGAAGAGCTCAAAGCTCTCTTTCCTCAGATGTTATGCAGAGAACCGTTTTGCTTTTTAATGTTCCGAGCTATATGACCCTAAAATCTTTCTGTGCATTTTTTTCTTGCGAATGTCTGTACAGGTGGTGTTGCCCACATTTACAACATGGTTGATTATAGCAGAGCGTGATACAATTGTAGCGCGGTTAGTAGAGCTTCAGATCTGAGGGAATGTACTCTTGTCAAATAAAAGCCTGTTTAAACGGGAACAGTTCACTGTCTGAGCGTTAAGAGAAAACTGTCTAAATAACATCAAGGTGGCAACACATAGCGACATAAGCTGGAAATTCAAAGAAAAGCTGTGACCCTCAGTATGGAATTCAGATTGCTTTGCACAAGGGAGGAAAGCCTTCCTCTGGACTGGGGTGAATACGAAGCTCCTGAATTACTGCTGTGTGGCTTTTGCTTTCACCCATCATAGCCTCGCTCTTTAAAATGTTTGGCAAAAATTCTCATTTTGTGAGGGTTTTGTGTTTGTACATATTTGAAAAAAAGAAAGAAAATTCAGAGATGAGTTTTGAAAGGAAGAATGAAAACAAAGACAGACTCTAGAAATAGGTGTTTGAATGCCTTGCCTGCTCTGATTATCATCTGACAGTTAATCGTGTACGTGGGCATCATTTTCAAAATGAGTTTTATTGACTGCATGTAGCTAGGTATTTTAGAAATCCATAGTCCTGTTCATCCAAGGTCCAGAGAAGGGTAGATTTTTTTTTCTTTCATTCCCTCAACTGGAGGAAAATTGGGCATTGAGGAGATGATCAAAACCTGTTCTTTATCTGTGCCAAAATAAATGTTTCTCTGGTATCGATAGTACCCTGCGG